TGTATATTTCTGGGATGCAATATGATTTTCTGATCTACGTACCTTATCAATGCATTCTCAGAGGAAGATTTCATTAGTTAATTTATTCATCATCTCACACACTTGTCATGGTTTTATGGTGAGGTATTGAATATCTCTTTTATCTGAGCACTCCTGGCACAGCCTAGCCTAGCTCGTCTTTGATCGCTTCCTTACTCCTTGAATGACATTGTCTTCTAGGTTCGTTGTGTACATTCCTTGTCCAGATCTCTCGTAAGTTATTTCTTCATGGAGCTGTAGTTTATTTTGATGGAAATGAGTGTCAAAAGCCAGAATCTTGGTATTAGTGTCAAGTGACCCTTGAACAAGCACATTGGTGGCAGCATCTTGGAAAAGACGATTGTCACTATTGAAAATATATTTTGCCCTCAGATTTAGTAATGACATTGGAAAAGTGATGGTCGAATTGTCCCTCTCAACACATTTTAAATTTCTTAAACATAGATGAGCAAAATAGCAGTGAGAATGCCTCTTATGGGCCCTGGCCTAGTTCTCTACTTTGATTCCCATAATACGAGGCAGGACTATACTCTAGCTTTGTATTACAACTGAGAAAACGTAAGCTAGGGGGACTGCTTAATTTGCCTATGTTGGAACAGCTAATAGGTAATAAAGCTGATTCGAAATGAAGACCTTTGATCACAAAATCCATCCTTCAAAGAGACTTTCATATTAAATGACACATGAAGGAATTAGAACCTAGTCTAATAAGCAAGTTGAACTCTCACGGTGGATCCTAGAGTTTAATTTGAAAACAAAGGGTGGCTCCAGAATGACAGGCGGCCTTAGCCAGGGTAAACTGTCGCCTGCATCCTTTGCTCATGGGACAGGCATGCAGCCCCTTGGGGACTACTTTGAAAGGACCAGTTCAGATGTTTGCACCGGAGTCTGTGGCCATGTGACTCACAATGTGACTGAAACAGTGATATGGAGGGGACAGTGGCTTCTGAGTCCATTAGGCCGTAGGTGGAGCTCTGTTCCAATTTTTTTTTTTTTTTAACCTGCCAGGCTTGCTGAGTTACTTAACACCTTTCAGCTTTAGTGTCTCCACCTGAGCAACGGGGTGTGGGTGGTATCCGACTTGCATGCTCCCAGAGGGGTTAAAGTGAAACTCCATGTACAATGCACCCAGGACTGCTGCAGGCATACAGACCAGGAGCTGGAAGGCCCCTTCCTTTCACATCTGTGAGTTCCTCCCTTCCAAGTCTCCCTAGCCAGTCCTTGTGTGTCAACCATCATTTCTGGGTTGAGATCGAATTCTGAGACACACAATGAGAGAGAGAGAGGCAGACAGACACACAGAAGTACTGTAATATCCCAGTCACTTTCAGGTCATGTGCTTAAGCAAAAACGAGGAGAATTTCAGAAATGTACTATGCTTTACAGCTTTTCAGTTCCAGCCACTGTGTGCCTTATGAGTTATGCCTTTCTTTCATTTTTAGTCTGTTTCCACAAAGCCCCTCTGCATAGTATCCTCACAAAATAACATTTGCCATGATTTATTTATTTATTTATATCGTAATCTTGCTTATATTACATTGAATCACATATAACTTTACAGTGTATTACATTTCTTTTCCCAGAAGGAATACCATGCATATCAGTCAATACAGAGACATTAAAATCCCCATCTTCATCATCCAATAGATTTTCGTTCTTTTCCCGATTATTATTATTATTCCTATTATTTTTTTAAACAATCACTATTTATCATTGCTTGTAAAAAGACTTTACCCAACATGAAATACTTCTCAGACCAGTCCAGTTGAGAATACTACACACGCCATCATTTACCAGTAATAGACCATCTCTGTGTCTCACTAATGTCAGGCCTCTCTATTTGTTCTCTTGCTATCTTTCTCCATACTCTTCTCTTCTCCTGCCCCATTGCACGCTCTATTATCATTGTTCACTATTATCACTGTGTTTATGCCCTCCACTATATCAGTCTCTACCATAGAGTGCAGATAGCTGATATATATTAAGTAGATACATACAACATCTTACTTTCATATCCTGGCTTACTTCACTCAGCGATAGATCCTCCATATCCAGCCACTTTCTATCAAATGCCAGGGTCTTGTTGTTTTTCATGGCTGAGTAGTATTCCATAGAGTATATGTGCCACACTTTTTCAATCCACTCATCTGTGGACATTTGGGTTGGTTCCACATCTTGGCCATCGTGAATAATGCTGCAATAAACATTGCTGTACAAGTGCTTTTCTGACTGAGTGTTCTCCTGTCCTTTGGGTAGATACAAAGATAGTTCTTACTGGACATTTTTATTTTATATTGGTTTTAAATTTATTTTACCCAGTTATTACATTTTTTTTGTTTTAGTAATGTTAAATTTTTATTTCTAAAAATTCTCTCTGGCTCCTATTGATACCTGGATGATCATTTTTTTTAATGTCTTGTTATTGTCTGAATATGTTAATTCTTTTTTTTTTTTTTTTTTGCCAGAGGCATGTGTGCTCACCAACAAGACAAAGACAGAAAGGGAGAAATCACCCCCTGAGGGGGATGGGCATGCCACAATCCCTTCTCCATTCTCTTCTTGGGATTTTGGGCATGCATGCGCACACACACGCCTGGCATGAGTTTCAAGCCACCAGTTCCAGGACTCAAACTGCGGTGGACCATGTGGGAGTCCAGTGATGTAACCATTATGCCATTTGCTGATCCCTTTCATTTTTGTTGTATACATTTAATCACTTTATATAGATCTTTTTATCATCTGTATCTGACTTTTTTATTCTTTGACACTCATGGGAACTGCAATTCTAGAATTTCTTGTGTTCACTAGCACTCTCATTGTGAACGGTTTTGTAATTCGAGATTGTGAGTTCCAGTCTTTTGGGAATGTATCTTTGAGGGTCCTTTAGCCTGGTATGCTCCAAGGTGCTTTGCTGGGTGCCAGGGCTGACCATGTAACATATTGGTTGTGAGCTGAGACTAGGCAGGACTTCTGCTTTAGAGTTCCCAGATACCTGTGGGGTCACGCCCATTAGGCCAGCTGTCAGGGGAGGCTTTTCTTGACTATGCACTTGTATCCTAACCAACACAGATCATCTGTCTTAATGTCTTTTGTTTACCTACCCCTTAACTGAGATTATTATCCAATGTTCAGAAAACTACCACCCACTGGCAAAGTCTTGTTTTTGCATGCCTGCAAAATTTTTATTTCCATTTTTAAAAATAATTTTTTATTTAACTTTATTTATTCATCTACTTATTTTAATTTGACCAGAAAGGGACAGAGAGAGGGAGAGAGAGAGAAAGTGAGAAAGCAAGCCACCAGGTCCAGGACTAAAACTGCAGTTGGCCATGTGGGAGCCAGCGCCCTCAACCAGCATGCCAAATGCTGGGAGCCAGCGCCCTCAACCACCACGCCAAATGCTGGCCCCTATTTCCATTTATAATCAAATTATTAATAGAATATATTATGATTGGGGAGAATCACGTGAAATTCCAATTTCAGTGTCCATAGACGGTGCCATTGGAGCACAGCCGTACGGTTCACATTGTCATCTGTGTTGCGCTCTCACACTCAGCGTGGGCTCGGTGTTGTGCCAGGCGTGGTGTGGCCTGCGAAGCCTGACGCGTTTGCCGTCTGTCCCTCAAGAAGTTTGTGGACCTCTGTGGGAACTGGGTCTTACTTGATGCCCTGAGTCCCAGTTTTCTAGTCCAAGGACCCTGCAGCCTTGTTCTCTGTCTGTGAGCCCTTAGAACCCTGCTCCCGCCCGGGGCAGGCCAGGTGGACTGAGGGAACCATTCCTCAGTTGTCTTTTTCTTTAGATCTCTGGGGGTCCACCTTGTATTTTAGTGCTCGCCAGTGGGCTTACGATGGGCTGGTCCTACTTCGTCAGGTGCTCTGGGGTGGATTTAACGGATGGCTTTCCACGTACCTGGGCCACTGTGCTGCGGCGGTCCCGGCATTTGGGATCTCTCCCTGTGGGGAGTAGCTGGTCTGTTCTCCTGGGCTGCAGGGAGAGGCGGGGTGTGCCGGACCGAGCAGGAGCGGGACCTATCCCACCCTGCATGTGGCTCCTGGTAAGCGCAGACGTGTCTGTCTCTGGCTCTTGGTTTGGCTGTCATTGAAGAGGAGAGATGACTGCGTTGATTTCTGAGTCCTCTTCGTGCTTTCGACTTTGGTTTCGGCCAGTTGGTGGTTGTGCTCTAGCCTGCTTGTTCTTACAACATGCGGGGCCCTGGAGTGAGCTCCGCAGAGCACGTGGCAAGGACGCGGGCACGGTGCCCGCCTCATGCTGCGTGCAGTCCATGCAGAGACTGCACGAGAGAGCTGGGCCAGCAGGCGGTGACAGACGAGGAGGCAAGGCCTGGACAAGGTGCGTTTGGGATGGGGACAGTTGACGGCACCCCGAGAGAAGCCAGGGGAGGCTTTCCAGGGGCAGTGACTTTGACACTGAGGCTCAACATGTGACGAGGATGCATCCAGGTAGAACAGGCAGGATGGAGTCATCCATGTAAAAGCAGCAGCATAGCAAGCATAGCAAAGGCTCGAGCTAGGGGCGGTCCACTCACTGCAAGACTGGCAGTTGTCCAATGTCTTCTAGTCAGTCAAGGAACACAGTGTAAGTACAATATCTAGAAGCCGAATTCTGGCAGGGCGCAAGGTTCGGCACACTTGTAGGATGACATATCCGTGTACGTGTGTGTGCACATGCATGCACACGTGAGTGTATGTGTGTGGCTGTGTACCTTTGAGGGGCAGGGAGTGACGGCGCTAGGATGTACCAGGTCAGGGGCAAAGGGAGGAGATTCCAGGGAGGTCCTGTGGGCAGTGTTCATGGGAGGCAGATGGGGAGAAGGGGTGGCGATGCCACATGAAGATGGGATAGAGGAGGACAGTGAGAGGCTTGGCTTAGAAAGAAACCCGTAGCTTCTTTCAGTGAGCACCGCGTGCCTCTTCCACTTACGTATTTGTTTATTTCGCAGGGCCCTTCTGGACCACCAGGAGAAAGGGGACCCCCGGTACAGTATGCTATAAGTAAAGGGTTGGGTTTGTATGGGAGGAGCTCTCCAATCAAAACAATTTTAAATTACAGGCACCCAAAAGTGGTTTCTAAAAGTTCCTAACACTCAGCAGCACAGACTCTCCAAAAGTGAGCACGGACCTATGGCATAGGGTAGGACAGATGCGGATATGACGAGGAAGAGGAAGGGGATCCCTATTCCAACTGCTCATTTTGAAGTTGAGCGAACAGACTGACTTTGTCTTTTAGCAGCTCTCCATCACACACAGGCAGCCGGGATTTAATTCGTTTCATCACATTTTGAGAAAAACTCATTTTGAATCTCAGCACCAAGCATGCAACTGTTGATAAGTGAGGAGATTTCTCTTAATCTGTAAGGTGGACACAGGAAGAGCTATGAGTCAGGATGCAGTTGTCCATTAATGGGCTCATTTTCTGAGGCAACAGGAGAGCCCTCGGCGAGCATTCACGCCCAGGAGTGGCAACACGGATGGGTGTGCATCTGCCCGCATTGCCCTGCGAGCGGGAACTCCTGTGAGCTCACATCTTGGAGGAATGTGGGTGGCTGAGATGATGTGGAACCTTACGCCATGTGTACACATTTTAAATTGTGTCCATTCATTTGACTTTTAAATTAAGGTGGATAGGAATTTTTATACCCATTTTTATAGGTGAAGAAATTGAGGCATGAGGTTTCTGAGCAAGTTACTGCAAAGCAGAAGAGTCTCCACAAGGAGGTCTTGGAGTAAGGGTGGTCTCTGAAGACCCCAGAAAGGACAGAGTTAGCCCCAAGCAGCTGTGCTACACTGTTCTAGCACCTTCCAGGACAAGAACTGACTCCCAGGTTGATTTCTGTAAGGAAAGGTCTCATAGGGAATGAGATCCACGATGTAAGATATCTGTGCCCTTCCCCGGTGGTGTCCAGAAAATTTCAACAGAATGGGACTCACTTCCTCATAAAGGCCAGTAGCTGTCCTGTCGGTGCTGAGGGCTGAGCCGATCTTGTGCAGGAAACTTACTTAGCCAAGGAACAGCCCCCAGGGCTGAGACACACGGGAGCCAGGATTTGCGCTCAGGCCCGATTTCTCAGGGCTGAAACAAGGGACCTACAAGTGGGGCCTGGGTCGCCAGGTTCAGAGGGAAGGCTTTCCATGGTGCTCTGAGTGTACTGAGCACGTGCCCTCTGCAGGGTGTGGGCTCGGGTCCCACGCCTCAGGGCTGCTTCCTCATAGCAACAGCCATTTGTGCCGAGGGAGGCGGAGGGCTCTACTCTGCTTAACGCATTGCAGTGTCTTCTCTTCTTTTCTATCAGGGATCTCGAGGCTTACCTGGATTTCCCGGCCCTCAGGGACCAGCCGGCCAGGATGTAAGTAAGACAGAGGGGTAGACCTGGTCAGCGTCCACTGGAAGTCCACTGTTCCCCACCTCATGCTGCCTGGCGCCATCGCAGGTTTCCAGGAAGCTCCCTAGACTCGCTTCCTCTCCTGTTGCTTGTGGTCTATGATTGGCGTTGTTCTGTTTTGTGCCATGCTTTCAGAACCTTTTAAGTTCCTGAGGTATCTCATCCAATTTCTTCTATTTCTTGGTCTTTTTATTTTTATTTTTTACACAAACCCAGCCAGTCATAACTGCTCAAATGAGCTACTGTCTTCTCTGCAGACTTGTTTTCGACCCATCCCCAGAATGATCCTCCTTTCAGGGGAGGTCTACAGACGTAGCTGGTTCTCGCTGAGGATACACCACTGCCCAGTGCTGACGGTGACCCTGGCCTCTTGTCTCCAGTATCTGGCTTTGGCTCAGACAGACCTGGGCTCCCAGGATGGAGGGACCATGCGCCTTAAGCCTTTGTGGGTCCTTGATGCCAGGCTTCATGCCAGGTGCATGGACGTTACAGATAACGACAGCTGTGAGGTCTTACAGGGCCAGGGTGCTGGCAGTGGTAAGCAGTGATATTTATTCTTAATTATGCACCTCTCATCTCTATAGCTTTAGTTTATTATAAGCAAAAAAACATGATCCTTTTTCCCTGTGGGTTCAATGCCATTAAAAACGTTTTCCCTAATTCCTACCTCCAAATAGATTCCGTCCTCCACTCACTGTCAGCAGTACCTTCTTACAGCCCAAGTGCTGTCCTTTTCAAAGCCAGTGCTCTTGTGTGTTTAGAAAAGGTTTGGACAAGTTTAAGCAGGTGTGTGTGTGTGTGTGCATGCACGCATACGCACACATGCATGTGTGCACGTTTAGTTATGGGTACATACTTTGGGCACATGAGTTGTTTTGCTTTGTGTTTAGGGTAAGAGTTACAGGAGAGCTAGCTCACTCTTCTAAACATGTGTCACTCTTAAATGTTTTCTGGGAAGCCTTGGATATTCAGCTTAATTGTAAGACACATTTTTAGCGGCGTTCTTCATGGTTGGGTGTTTCTTTCCCCGCTGAGTTACGCTTGGTGGGTATTGAGGTTGGCAGAGGGGGTGGTTGAGTGGATAAGGATCACGTGGTTATCACAGTTAGTGTTTACTTTTTTTCTTTCTCCTCCTAGGGTGCGCCAGGGAATCCGGGAGAAAGAGGGCCTCCTGGCAAACCAGTATGTCATCTTACGGGGCTGGATGAGCACTAACTGTCAACCAGAGCTCTGGCTGGAAATAAAATGCAACTCAGGCATTTCAAGAGACTTTTCCAAAGGGGCCTTTTACAAAGCTGTGGGCAGAGGGGACTAACACAGGATGCCATGAAACCCAGAGCTAAACCGCAGCGGGAAGCTGTTACCGCCAGTGTGTCCACTTTCAGAGCCAAGTGAGAGCTAGAACAGTGGGAGGGGGCTGTCAGGTGAAAGCTGTGTTGTAAGTCCAAAGTCACTTCCAGAAAGCTTGGCCTCCCCCACCCCAGGGCTCTGATGGCTCTAACACCATCACTGTTAGCACTCAACGTTGGGCCGCAGGCGGGCAAGCCCTGTGATATGCCCTCTGGGGCCTGGACTGAGACAGAGAGGGTAAGAACCAGGCCTTGGGCTCAGCGAATGGACAAAAGCAGCTCTGACTGCAAACTCCCAGCATGCTGTTCCTTACCCTGGGGTAGGGAACGTCTGCATCTGCAGTAGCTCAGATTTGCATGGCAGAAACTGTCGCAGTGGGAGCAGTGAAGCTGTGAAAGTGAGCAGCTGTGGACAGCTTTGGGTCCCAGCATGTGGCCACAGCCCAGCCCCAGGGTCCCACAGGCTTCCTTGAGGTACAGCACCTTTATCTTCTGGACACCCTCTAACTGAATTACCAACACCAGAGACTTCCAAAAGGTTTAGCTGAGAACCCAGACCTCAGGTGGGCCCTCAGGGAAGGCGCAGTGATGGCGTCTGGGTGTGGGCTGCTGCGGAGGCCGCTGTTCAGTTTTGGAATCAGCCTTTGCTAGATGGAAGAGGCAGTGGTAGTCGAGAAGGGGGCATCACCGTCGTCATGGGAGAGGCCAATGTCTCCTGCTACGGCCTGGCCTGCCAGTTTCAGAGAAGACGAAGGTGCGGAACCCGTGGGTGCACCTCCCTACCCCTCCCTCGTCTGAGTTAACAGACCCAGCAGAGACCTGGGCAGGGAGCTTGGTCTGTTTATAAGGGCTCTAAAAATTCTCATTGGATTTTTTCATTCCGATTAGATGAGTAGAAGGTCCTGTTGGAGGGGAGGGGTAACTTACTCGTCCCTCCTCCTCTGTGGTCCCGGATTGACAGCTCACAGAATCTACGTCATTACCCAAGTGAAAGGCCCAGTGAAGTGGGGAACAGTGAGGTTCAGGCCAGAAGTCAAACAGGGATTCAAATGGCCTCCGCAAAATCTAGACCTTGACACCTCCCTGCAACGAGATTTGAGTCAACAGAGTCTAGCTGATGACGTCAGCAGACCTGGCTGTCACACAGCTGGTGACCAGGGGACCTAGAAAGGGAGCCTCGCTCTGTTATGGACTGCGCCCAAGGGCCAAGTGTGGCCAGTGACGTCAGCCCCTTCCTAATCAGACAGATCATGGTGTCAAGGGTCCCCACACTCATTCATGCTCAGTGACTTTCTAGAACTCAGAGAAGCCGTTACGTCCGTGGTCAAGGTTTATTCCGGAGAAAGCACACAGGTTAAAATCAGCAGGGAAGGGCGTGTAGGAAGGAGTTGAGGGGAGACCACACGGGCTCCCACAGCCCCTCCCTGGGAGCTACTGCAGACGGCTCTCACCAAGGGCCACAGTGGGGACCCCGAGCCTTGGTGTCCAGGGCTTTCACTGGGGGCCAGGCAGGGGCATGAAGTGCCCTCATGATTGGCCCTAGTTAGGCTCCAGCCTTTCCGGAGGCCAAACTGATGCTGTGTGACCCGCGGTCTGCCCTGTGAGTCACATAGCTGATCTGAGCTGTCTGGCTTGGCCCCCGACTCGGGTAAGTAAGGACACGATTCAGGGCATCCCGAGAGCTTAGAAATGACCCCACAGAGCATGTTTCAGAATGGTCAGGCCTGCCGAGCTAGACCTCACTGCACGGCCATCTACCTCTGTGCCTTCGGAGGTGGAGGGTGACCTGAGTGTCTCTCAGTGCCGTACCCATTCAGGGAGAAGCAGAATCCCGGGACCAGGAATCCCGTCTCAGGCAGCTGCTCCGGAAGCAGGTGTGCAGTGGAATCCTTGCATGGGTGACTGAGAGTGCTCACAGGTGAAACCCGCGGGGACTGAGCAAAGCAGCACACGGTGGGAGAAAGACCAGTCCAGGGTGTGGCTCAACCCGTCTAGCCTCCATCTGGTTCCACAGGGAGCTTGAGCACGGACGGCCCCAGAGTGGCCCTGTGTGCAGGCGCGGCCAGCCCTGTTCACTCCATGGCAGTCAGTCTATGGCTGTGTCACCTCCCTGGCATTTCCAGCCATCCTTCCTGGTGCCAGAGCATGGACACCAGGAATAAGTACAAGGAGAACACAGGCTGCCTTCGCCACTCGGCACTTCCCACTGTGTTCTCTGAGCCCCCCGACCTATGACAGTCTACGATGTGTGATCAACTCTTCGCAGGCAGAAGTGGCAATCAGGCACCCCGTCCTCATCTGTGAGGCCACTGCCTCCAGGCAGACCCCATGTCTGTGCACCTTCTTGTGAGTTCCCTTGTGAGCCTCACAGAAATGGGTCAAAGCAAGACATGAGTGAGCTCGGAGGCCACACTCCTGAGACTGAAAGGCACTCCCGTTCTCTGTGCCTTGGTCACCAGTACCCGGCCGTGCTGTCTAATATAGCTCACCCCAATTACAGGAAGAGCTCAAATGACAGCCTAAAAACACCCCTAATAGTCCAATGCCAGCAGCGTGCACATGTTCCAGTCCGAGCAGGGCAGGCCCTCAGCCATTCTTAATGCTCCAGGGAAAACATCTGAGGCTTCACCACGAAGCACCTTTCCCTTTCTAGAAGTTGAACACGTTCCCGCCATGAAGGTTGTCCTTCCTCTGGAAACTCAGACTAGCAGGGAGGTGAGCTTGTCTGCTCAGCTGTCCCTCAGGGCTCTCCTCACAGCACTGATGACTCCTGCAGGTCCTCCAGGCCAGAGCATCCAGCCTCAGCTTCACTTGATTGCCCACTCTTAGGGCAGCTCAGAGGGTGACTGGATCTCTGAGCAAATCAGCACAGGGAGCAGCACCCCACCCCAGAGCACCCCCTGCAGCCTGGTGTTACCGCGGCCTGACGACGCAGTCACCCACAGGCCAGGAGTCAGCAGGAGAGCCAGAACAGCTGTCTTGGTGTCAGCCTCTTCAGGATGACAGACTAGATTCCTAATTCATGCCCTTAAACTTAGAAAGAAACACTCTCTTGGTACCAGCAGTTGGTGTAATGGTAACGTCGCTGGACTCCCATGTAGTCAACTGTGGTTCGAGTCCTGGACCCGGTGCTTAAACTCACACTGGGTGTGTGTGCGTGCATGCCCAAGATCCCAAGAGGAGAATGGAGAAGGGATTACGGTGTGGCCATCCCCCCGGGGAGTGATTTCTCGCTTTCTTTCTCTCTCAGCCTTTCTGGTGAGCGCACGTGCCCTATAGCCAAAACCTCTCCAAAACAAACAAAAACCCAGAAGGAATCACTTGCCACAGTCTAATGGTGGCCACAGGCTTCACGTACCCCAGGGGAACTACCAGGCTACCTCTGGCACGTGGATGTTTTGGTTCCCCTTTCCCAGCACACACTGAGAAGGTCACAAAGTAGGTGCCAGTGTAATCCTAGGCAAGGGTTTCTTCTCGTGCACCTGGGGCCCTGGGCTGGCCTCCGCTGTACAGGCCACACTCCAACTCCTGGTGTAGACCTGAGTCCAATGACCTTCAGACGCCTACATCCCTTCAAAGGCTCTGCAATTACTCTGAATTTCTTGAGATCTCCTTGCTAGAATGAAAGACTTTCAATCCACAATGACAGATGAGGTGTAAGTGTTGTCCCACCCAGGAGAGCTGAAGACCCCGGTTTAAATTCATACTAGGCTGTTAATGATTGCTAGCAATAGCTGTAGCTCTTCTGGGAAGTCCATAAGTGTCCAGTGGCAGATGGCCTGCCTTTCTGCCCCGAGATGTATCCATATGCCCCTCCAGCTTTGATGGGGTGGGGAGGAGGGTCTTCTGGGGAAGAGAGGGGCAGTGGGAGGACACTAAGCAGGAAGGCCTGAGCTCAGTCAGACCTAGCTGGGACTAGCCACCTATGCGGCTGTGGCCTTGGGATGCTTGTCTTTCCATGGCTCCCAGGCTGGGGGCATGGGCCAGTCTGTGTGTGTCCCGTGCACGCCACAGGCGTGTTGCAGCAGGCTGACGCTTTGAAGCATGCATGGCTATGTTGTATGTACAGGTATGCGTGGTGCTCATCCATTTTTACTTCCACAGGGTCCCTTGTCGCTGCCATCTCCAGGGGACATAAACCTCTTGGTTAAGGTAAGAACAGCGACGACCACACGTGTGTCTGGAAATGCGGTGGGTGCTGGAGACCTCCAGAAGTGCTGCTTCTACTTTGTCCGAGCTGTCGTGGCAGCACCGCCGTGGCAGCGACACTTGTGGAGAGCTTAAGGTGTGCCTAAATGCCTAGATGCTAAATCCACACGGCTCAGCACCACAGCCGCTGGCCACAGGCGTCCATTAGATTTAAATCAGTTAAAACTAAATATCACGAGGGACCAGGGACCCGGTTCTCGTACACCAGGCGCTTTCCCGGTCTCTGGTGGGCTCAGGGCTGGGGCCTGTCTCACTGGGCGGCACAGGCGTGCAGGGGACGGTGTGGACAGCGGTAAGTGTTCAGATGCGTCTCTGGTTCAGTTCCTCTATGAGGTCAGCAGTCTTGGCATCCTTGTTTTGCATATAGGAATCCTGAGACGTGGTCCCAGGAATACGATAGAATATGCTAAAAATGTAGTCCAGCTCTCCTCAGTTCCAGAGACTGACCTGTACCCCCCGCAGAACCACCTCATGCTCTAGAAAGAGGTCAGAGGCAGAGACAGCTTGGGATGGTCCCGCTTGGGCCAAAGGCCTGAAACCCAGGCTCAGGGGGGCAGAGCGGCTGCCCTGCATTTACAAGGATGGGTGGAATGGGTGGGACCTGCGCACACACTTACCTGGTCTCCCCAGCTGTGTTTGCTTTCCCTGGGGTGTCAAAGACCCCAGGAAGTTGAGCATTCCTTGGCTGGGATAGGGCCTGGCATGGCTGGAGTCACACCTGAAGGCTACATTGTAAAAGTGCTCGGGGGCCTGACCAAAGGCTTCTGTTCTTTTTTTTTTTTTTTTCCCATTTTTTTTTTTTTGTTTTTTGTGTATACTTTCAA